AGAACTGTTTTCCAGTGTGGTCCTGTTTCTCTGACCGTGACTGGGTGGAGCTCGTCTGCCTGGCTGTGTGTTTCCTGGACGTGGCCGCCTTTTACAGCTGCTTTTTGTGTCTCTGCTTCTGTCTCCTTGAACCCCAGTCGGCCTGGTTCTGCTGGAGGTTTCTTCCTGTTAAAAGGGAGTTTTTCCTCTCCACTGTCGCTACAAGCATGCTTAGTGTGAGGGATTGTATTTGAGTCAATGAGTCGATGCAATCAACTGGTTTTCCTTAGATAGAAAACTTTGAATCAATTTGACTTTATGATCTGGTGAACTGTGAAGTTTCTTGAGATGACATGTGTTGTGAATTGGCGCTATATAAATAAACTGAATTGAATTGAATCTATGGTCATGACCTGTGGGTTTTGACCAAGAGAACAAGATCCTGAGTACAAGTGGCCAAAATGAGTTTTCCCTGCAGGGTGTCTGGGCTCTTAAAGACAGAGTGAGAAGCTCAGTCATCCAGAAGGAACTCAGAATAGAGCAGCAAAGCAGTGGCGGCTGGTCAATAGAGGGCGCTAGTGCTCCGCCCCACCCGCACAATGACCTCGATTAAGACATAAAAAACAAAACAAAAATTAAATTATAATATTAAAATATTTCGAAATATATTAATATATTTTTTAGATGTGTAAAGCTGTTTTGTTGGTCGGATAGGTGACCTATTTAAATCTTTCGCCATTGACTCTGTTGAAACGTTGTATGCACAGTAGTGCCTCTGCGATGCAAAAGGATAGGGGAGCTTGGGGGGGCAGGAGAGCTGCACCCTCGGCTCGTACTGAGCTGACAGGAGCTGTCATCACAGTCGTGGTGTGGCTGATTGACAGGTCGAGTCGTGGTGGTGAAGTCCCTTAAAGCAAACTTACCAAGAGAAGCTGGAGGAGAAAGGATTTAAATCTGATCAGCTGAACATAAAAATTAATCAGCAGTCCAAAAACAGAGGGAGACAGTTCACTCTGTCTTTTTCCAGGATCTGGTTTAGCTACAAGGCTTGGCTAACTGCATGCAGCGAGGCTAATGCTTTATTCTGCTTTCCCTGCCTTTCTTCATCCCTTTTTTCAAAAGTCAGGATCTGATCCAGCATGGATGAAGACAAGTAGGCTGATTTAAAGCACTTTTCAAAAAAGGCAAAGAAGAATGAACAATCAGGGATTCACATGGAAAAATAATATAATATAGTGTACTTTTTCAAGGAGTTTGTTCATTTGCTTTTAACTAAACACATTCTCAAAAAAATTGCTTTTATATCATAAAAATATATAAAGCTCACTAATAGCCTCTCCATTGTTAAACTGCTACATTATTTTTTATGTTTGTGACATCATACTGGACCATGTAAACACAAATATGCCTTCACAAAGCCTCAGAAGGGAAACAATTACGTACAAAAAGTAAACCTGTACATTAATAACAAGGAGCAGATTTTAATCTAACCGACAATTAGTTGTATTCAGAATTGTTTTGCATAATTTCTCCAGATTAGAGTATTTCCTGAAAGCTTCTACGAAGCAAGTTTCTACTATTATAATCCAGTTACGTCCTATTTTTCCTAGATGATTTTAACCTCTGAGCCCCATTGTGCCTCGTCCCGTAGTATCTTACGTCCTGTAGATGTTGTGCAGCTGCTGATTCAGACTCAGCTTCTGGGTCTGCAGATACGCCGCCATTTCTGCCACGACCACGGCTGCACTGACGCCATCTTTCTCAGGGACCATGCTGCCGCACAGGAAACCTGCCAAAACAAGACTGTCACTGAGTGAGATCATCTACAGTTAAATTTAAAATAAACTCACAACATTTACCTGAATGGAGCCTTAAAAGGGACAGAATTAACAACAAGCCAACAGAATTTATACCTGTCAGTAGATGTCACCATAAAGCTGATTAAGCTTCCCTACAAATGGAAGTCAGAGAATGACTGCAAAAATATATTTAAAAAAAAAAGCTTACAAAAATCTTTAATACCACCAGGAAATGTTATTAAAACGTAAACTAAGCTTTTTAGCTCTTTCTTCCATTCCCTATGCGACATTACCGGCACTGTGACTTCTCTCCAGTAGAGAATATATTTACAGGTCCTACTTTCTCAGCAGCAGCCCACTTTGAGAGAAAGTGGGCTGTATTAATGAGAAATATGTATTTATGGCGACATCTCCTGGTGGATAAATGCAACTACAAATGAGTGGAACTTGAATACTTTAAACTGTAGCCACTACCTCCTTTTCCTTCAACTTTCCTGGGGTCAACAGTGAGGAAACTATGGTGGGTAGGAAAGGAACCCTGTGGCTGATCATCCTCTGCCAAGCGTAAAAAAATCGCTTTGTCTAATGCTATGTTCAGGCAGCATGTGATTGAGGCAACAGTAGCAGCTTGTTTACATGCAAAGTATATGGTTGATCTAAAGATCCTGCAGCGCATTTGCATCTGAGCAGTCGAAGCAGCACTTCTGAGCATCTGACGTGCGTGACGTGCTTCACAAGCAGCAGCTGCTGGAGTTGGAAAAATTTAACTTTTGCTGCTCGACGTGCCACATCCACCAATCAGAGAAGCTGATCTGGGAGCTTGCAGGGGGACAGACACAGCACTGCTGATACAGAGTACTGTGATCATTTTAAGGCAGGATCGTAATCTTGATGAACTGATTGCACAGAGGATGTATTGAGGTGGATTTTCTCACTTAAAAATATATTAAAACTACAACTAGCAAAGGCACTATTGTCAGTTGAACACAGGAGCAGCAGAAGCATCAGCTTCATCTGGACACACTTTACTGGACGCTCTTCAGGAGCATCAAGGATGCTCTTGACGCGCGTCTGGCTTTAATTCAATTTAGTTTATTTCTTTTCTTTTCTTCTTTTCTTTTTCGTTTATTTCTTTTCTTCAGTGCTAATTCACAACACATGCCATCTCAAGGCACTTTACAGTTCAACCAGATAATAAAATCAAGTTGATTCAAAGTTTTCTATCTAAGGAAAACCAGTTGATTGCATCAAATCATTGACTCCGAGGCAATCCCTCACACCAAGCATGCTTGTAGCGACAGTGGAGAGGAAAAACTCCCTTTTAACAGGAAGAAACCTCCAGAAGAATCAGGCTCAGTGTAAGCGGCCATCTGCCGAGGCCAACTGGGGTTCAAGGAGACAAGCAGATACACAGAAAAAAGCAGAGATACAAAAGGAATGTGGACAAGCATCAGAAATGAAACAGCAGGCTCTACTTTGCTGCCCAAAGCACGTGAGGTGTGAATGTAGCATAAAAAAATCTGCTGCTAAAGACAAGCTAAGCCAGCAGGCATTTTAAGGCAATGCTGTTTCCATCACTAATAACTGGGTCCTGAGTTCAATTCAATTCAGTTTATTTATATAGCGCCAAATTCACAACACATGTCATCTCAAGGCACTATACAGTTCAACCAGATCATACAGAGTTCTGATGTGTTCTGGCTCCCCTGGAATCTCAGAAAGATATAGACTTTAAAGGGACAGCGGAGTCAAAGTTCTCACCTATGGATTCCTCAAAGGCAAATATCACCCTGTTTCCAGTTTTAGAGAGCTCGTGGATTCTGTTCCCGATCCATTTGAAGCCGGGCAGGGTTTCCTGTTGGAGAACAGAGACAAAGACTCTTCCTCAAATAGCTCAAAGGTTTGTTTATGCAGTAGTTTTATAAAGAAGAACCAACTCGTTTCATTTTCATTGTTATATTATTTCTCTGCAGCTCTGACTTGAAGCTACCAGATTATTTGCAGACCCAGTCTCTGTTTGGGCTTCTATTTAAAACATTTAACATAAATTAAATACATTAAAATGAAACAACTCTCAAAGTGCATTATGAGAGCTGATCAAAGAGCAGCAGCAGGAGGAACTTAGAAAAAACGACCAGTGAGACGATTTAGCGTTGGACCTCGAAGTGGAAGCCCTCCATGCGAGCGAACGCCTGCAGGATCTTTGACGACACGGTGGTGGCCAACATGTAGACGCTCTTGGTCTCCGCTGGATCCGGATGATTCTCCTTCCAGTTGAAGAACATCCACCATCCCAGCAGGGCGGCCAGCTCGTTTCCTGAGAACACCTTCCACCCTCGCCTGCAAAACCAGCAGACAGACTTTTGTTACATGCGTGAAACTCTCCAAATGACTCCCCCTGACTGCCGCAGGCCCCACATACCCGTTCTGCTCAGCCACAGCCAGCCGGTCGGCATCAGGATCCGTGGCCAGAACAATCTGAGCGTTCTCCCGGTCAGCCAAGAGGAGAGACAACTTCTAGAAAACGGAGAAAAAAAAATGTAAAATATATGAAAGAAACAAAAAACAAACAGGATGTTAAGAGAGATCCAGTTTACCAGGACAGACTCTCCCTCTTCAGGGTTTGGGCAGCGAACAGATGAGAACTTTGGGTCAGGGTCTTTCTGTTCAGGAACAGGGATGGGGGGTGCAAAGCCAAACACGCGGAAGGCCTGCTGGACGAACTCGTGTCCGACTCCGTGGAAGGAGGAGTGGATGAACTTTAACGTGCAGCTGCTGTTCAGATCCCTAAAAGACACAGAACAGCTCCTGGTTTCTGATTCCACCCAGAATGAAAGAACCTGGGAAAAAAAAGAGAGGATCCAGAGAGGAGTGGAGCAGGAGCTACCTGTGGAAGCAGAGAGAAGTCAGGTCCTCCATATAGAAGCTGTTGATCTGGGTCAGAGGGTCGGTCCTGAGCGAACTGTTTTTCACCAGCTCCTCATCCCAGCAGGAGTTGTTCCAGGGCTCCAGCTGCTCCTCAATACAGCGCAACACCTCCTTATCGTGAGGGGAGGCGATCTGAGCGCCATTACACCAGTACACCTGCAGGGGGAGAAACATGCTAGAACCTAAGCTGGTTCAGACACTCCCATCGCTTTACTTCAGGACCTTCTGAGGCTCTGTACACTCAGCACAGACCGGATGAGCACCACAGGAGGTCCTGTTTGGTTTCTCTAATCCCACAGCCTGACCTTGTAACCGTTGTCCTCTTTTGGATTGTGTGACGCAGTGATCATCACCCCAGCTGCTGCTCCAAGTTTCTTCACAGCGTAAGGCTTGAATACAAAACATAGAAAGGAAACATTTCGTTGATTTAGAATCGCTCAGCTGGGGTCAGAGAGCAGGAGACTCTTTCTGTAACGTCAGCCCATACGCTTTAATATAAGTGGAATGCTCCTTTAACAGCAGTAAAAGCTCTGCAGAGGATGCAATGCTCACCACGTAAGGAGTCGGAACGAATTTGGAGAAAAGATGGACAGGAATGTCTCTGCTGAGAAGCACAGCCGCCGTCAGCTTGGCCAGTCTAGGAGAGACAGAGACACAGGGGCTTCGTTAGGTTGAGATGAAGACAGGAAACCTACTGGGGACAAACGTCCTTTTCTGCTTGGGTCTTAGGACTCTTAAGCAGTGTTCTGTCTGGAAGTTTTCAGGTTGAAAACTTCCAGACCACCTTGAGACTTAGCATGCTAGGGCATTCTGTTTGGATAGAAACTGTCTATCTAATCTAACTTTTTGGACAGGAAAAAAAATGTCCTCCTTGGACCCAGTCCTTATTTTTTGGACCCACTTTTAGGATGAAAACAAACGTCTGACTGGGACACAAACATCTGTCCCAAACATAAAAGAAAAAACTATGTTTTCACAAACAACTTTAAGCAGGGCGAGGGTTTTTTTTCAGGACTTAAATTATTTTGTGAGTGAATTAAGATCTCTGGCACCAAACTTACAATCAGATCATAAGTCAGATGTTGCCGTTAGAATACTGCCTTCCAGTTAGGACAAAAATGCTTTGATGAAAGATACTTTATTTTGGGACATAGGATATAAATGTCCTCCCATTTCTAATGGGCATTTTTCTCTATGTAATCCATGATTGGTGGGAAGCCACACTCTTCACTCTTTTCACCTCCCTGCATTAAACTCTCCTCCTCATGCTGCTGTTTATCAGACTGACAGTCCACCGTGGGTTTCATCTAGAAATATCTATTTATGTATTTCTCCTGTTAGAACATGAACCAAATCTTCATCCAGAACCACAACCTCATCAGTGGCTCCTGGTCTCACCTCTGACTGCTGCAGCCGCTCTCCTCCTGACCCCTGGTGTCGAATCCAACCACCACTCCCCTGCTGCTAAGATCAGCAAAACACCTGAACAGGTACGCATATAAACCCTGAGAGGAGAAGAAGGAGGTCAGATGGACACAGCTGGGAGACTTGGCTGCAACCAGTTGAAAAGGCCCTACCTTAGTGTTGTGACCAAAGAGGATATGTGTTACTGGTGTAATAACTGGTCTATAATCAGACTGGACCGGTGTTACTGGTGTAATAACTGTTCTGTTACCTGACTAGACTGGTTTTATTCATGAAACAACTGGTCTGTAACCTGATTGGACTGGTGTTACTGGCGTAAAAAGAAAACTGATCTGTTACCTGACTTGACTGGTGTTACTGGTGTAATAACATTTCTGTAACCTTACTGAACTGGTTTTATTCGTGAAACAAGTGGTCTGAAATTTGACTGGACTGTTGATAATGGTATAATAACAGGTCTGGTACCTGATTTGACTGATGTTACTGATGTAATAACTGCTCTGTAGCCAGACTAGACTGGTGTTACTGGTGTAGTAACAGGTCTGTTACCTGATTTGACTGATGTTACTGATGTAATAACTGCTCTG